TTCATCTTCAGTTGTCATCCGCATTTTCATCTTCGTCTTTCTCCTGTTTTTCATTTCATTTTTTACTGTACAAATCAAACTTAAATGTCTGAAAAGTACCCGATTGTTTTTTTCTGTAAAGCCATCAAATGTCGGCAATAAGCTCATTACGAAGTACTTCTGAAACCGGTATTATAGAATCATTACAATTTCAACGAGGTTTTTAGCAAAAAAAAAAAAAAAAACCAACAAATGGAGAAATTCTTTGAAATTAAAATGACATATCTTAGCTAACTTCTCGATTCCTTAAATCCCTCTAATGTTTCCTTTTTTACCCTCTCTCTCTTCTTCTTCGCCTCATCTCTCTTTCTTCACCCTTCCTCCTCCACCCCTCAAATGCTTTGGAAGATTCTGTAAAACTGAGAAAAAAGAAAGAAAATCGGAATATAAAAGAAAAAACACCAAAAGAATCTGCGGCAACAAACAATCCACTTTTGTTGGCTATACTTTTTGTGCGTTTAAGAAATTATGGCTTCCTTGATTTTCCAATACAATAAGTATCTTAGGCTTCCGCAAAATGTACAAAAATACCGACTAAAAAAACTTGATACAAAGAAATGAAAAGGACTGATTAAATGTGCAACTCAATGTTAAATTATAAATTTGCTCTTCTTTACTAAACTTTAATGACCGAACATAATTCTTAATTTTTTGTGGTTATATGGCTTAATTTTGTTGGTAAAAAAAAGAAATCAAAAAATAGAGTTTGAAAAAAAACCAGATAGTATTTAGAGCAAAGTTCATTTTGCACTTAGGATGCAATTAAACAAACCGCGGCTTCACTCTGAAAAACGTTTCAAGCGAAAATCGGTATCAACAAATCATGAACTTTTTTCTTCTCTATTCTTCTTCAGTGTGCGATTCTTCGAAGACTGTTGATTATGCTGACAAGCTATTTGTTCATTCTAATACAGTAATTAAAAGTGTTATTTAGAAAAAAATCCTATAAAATAATCACCAACTTTTGGCCACAGTCATTAAAAAATGATGAAAGAAGTGGAAAAAAAACCAGACATGAAATTGAAAAGTCGACCATAAATTTAGTTCTTTTCTTTTTGGTTAACTACACAAAATGCTAATAAAAAAGAACAGAACTAATGCAGTTAGTTAAAAGTGACTTTAGAGATGCGTAACCAATTTTTTACGATCAAACAGCTTGCAGAAGTAGAAGTATGACTGACTGTCCACTGATGCACCGAGAAGTTGTAAAAAAAAAAATAACATTTTTTTCTGCTTCTTATTTTTCTTTATAACCATCAAATTTCAGCAGGTATCTTCTGGTTCTGTACCCATCAGCTTTTTCAGTAAGCAATTCAAAAACATAATTTGTAAATAAATTACAATATTTTGAGGTATAATAAATTATTGAACAACAGAACATCAACGTTTACTGTCAATTCAAATATTTATGTAATAGGTAACATTGAGCATATTGTATTGAACGCTTCATTAAGAGTTACTTCGATATGACTGATTAGGCTGATAAGATATCGAATACATATAACAACACAAATATGACTTAAAAAATTGTTTTCTATCAAGGAAACAGTAACTGTTACCAGATTCCAGTCTAATAGATAGTATTATGAAAAATACTGTATTTGTGAAGTTTCTCTCGACACAGACGTATTACTGAGTTTTCTAAAACACTTCGATTTCGTTATATTTTCATAATATTAGTATTTTTTCTTTCTTTGCTTTTTAAAATCTAACTGGGAAAAGCCTGGCTAAACAACAGTAGTTATATTTATTAAAATTTGTTACCAAGTCAGCAGTACAAGATAACTTAGTAGTTATTATCAGCAATTATCAGTGATAGAAACGCCCTCTAAAATCTTTTACATTTTTCATAAATCCTCTGCTTTGTCATTTACCTTATTATGCAATTCGTTAACATCGGAAAATTACATGGTAAAGACCAGAATTTCTACTCCGTATTAAACTTAATGATTTGAAGTTATTCAAAATCGTTATTCACAGATTCCCAAAATATAGCTGTTGAATGAATCCTCATCTATTCAGTGCCACATAATTTTATAAACAGATTATTAAAACTAGAATCAAAGAATCTCGAAGATGGCAATATTTTTTACAAAAAAAAAGTGATTTTTATTTGTTGCTGCTCAATAAATGTTCAGTCATACTTACTTTCAAACTGTACAAAAGTCCTGGTTTGACAATAAAAGATTGCGAATTAAGTTTGGTCATAAATTTGGTTGCCTAAAAATAAGTGCCTTTTTTAGTACACTGTGTAGGGGACTATAAAGAAAAACTTAAAAATGACTTTTCCAGCTAAGATTATTACTACTGCAAACGATATATTGTTCTACACTATACAAAACAAGAAATAGCCCCGCACTTTTCTAAATAAGATCTAAAGCAAAAGAAAGCTCAAATTGCCTAAAAGCTCAATTCTAATAGATAAGAAATATGACGAGGTTCCTGCTGAGGTAGTGAATCTAAAAGCAAGAGAACCGTAACAGGTGTATGGCAAGTTTGAGGAATATATAGCTTGAAGAACTTCGGCATCTGACCCATTTCAACCCCTTGAAGCACAATTATTTTTAATCATTACTTAAATTACAAGCATTCATCTCGTACTATTCACTTTCTCAATCTTGAGTAACCCTCTTTTGATTGTTATCATGGTCAATCTCAACTGCAGCACTACTGCTGAAAAAATTGGGTATATTAATTGAACTTCTACGTTTGCTTCCAAACCCCTGCTTCTAATCAGTTGTTCCTTAAGCCGAGCGGCAATTTTTCTTGAATCTAAATTCCCAGAAATGATTATGGTAGAAATGCCCCTGGACGGTTACTCCAAATGTGTCCAAAAACCAAAAAATTCCGTGCTGTTCTGACATGTGGGAATGGTCGTCCCGAATTCCAAAACACGTGTGTAAACTCTACAATAATTTATAAAAAGTTTAATGCCGAAAGAAACACTTGTTGTGGAAGAAACAGAAGTCGATCAAAATTGAACGATGGGAAGGACATAGTAGCTCTAAATGACATGATCCCAATGCTTTCAGTTAAGTGGAAGACGCTCTTTAACGTCACCTTTCCAACCAACCAAATTAGCAATAGCGCAACATAACACTGCGATCAAACTCATCCGACTCGTCATAAATAAAAGTAACAAACTTTCCACATCCGCTCTCGTTCTTTGCTGGAACCGTTCTAAAGATGCCTGCCGTCCAAAGCGCTAAAAGCACTACTACCGCCAAACCATGCAGCGTGAGGGCTTTCATCGACCAGAACTTCCAGAATAAAAATTAAGGAATGAGCAATTGAATAATCTGAATTTATTCACAGACTCAGAACATCCTATCACAGCACCAAAGAAAACAACATTATACGGTCATACGTAAGTAAAACTGCCTAACCTTCCTTAACAAAAGCACTCGTCACAGTGCCTTAGTCAGCAAACGTATCGAACGACCTATACTAATAATACCAAATGGAGATTCAAACAAACTCAAGCAAACACTTTTAACAACACTGGAATGGGAAAATAACACAGACAATTCAGCAAATGTCTTCAATTTTGAATTATTAAAAAACGTAAAGCAAAAAAAAAAATAAAAAATAAAAAAGATTTTCGGCATGTCCTCCAAAACTAAAAAATAGAATAGGCTTTACCAAAATGCACCTTCAACTACTAAAAAAGTTCTCACGAAGTAAATTACCTGAAAATTTTTCTTTGTGCTTTCCACTCCTTTTTTCCTAACGTTAGCAAAGTGACAAAGTAGCTGAACAGCAAAAAGTCTTTGTATTTAAAAAGTTACGATATAACTTTACTATTCAAATGCTGATAAAGAACGCTACATTCACTAACAAACCAAATAGTAGCCGAAGAGGTGATACCGAAAAATTCGAAGTAGAAAGCAAAATTAAATTATCAACAGTGACCTTTCAAGACTGATCAGAACACAAAATATAAATAAAAAATACCCGTGTACAGATACTACCAACAGTAAACCAGTAGAAATCAAAACCATCATTACCCAAAAGATGCTCACATCCACAATTGGTAAACTGTTAGTACAAACTCAAAAGCAGTTATACCAGTTATACTTACCAACTTCAGGTATAATTTTTTATCTCTAAATTGTTCGAACCCCTGACAAAAGAAGCACCTACCCTATTTGCGGTTTCTTCTCTAATAAAAGAACTGAAAAAATAATGCAGAAACGAAGAAGAGGAGATAAACAAAATTCACGCCCAAATTTTGAAAATACCTAAAATTTTCACAACTCTTATGATATTACAGAAAATAAACATTAAACAGCACATACGTTTTATGTACTTGGTAAATGGACCAAGCAGCACAGTAAGCAGCTAATTACAATGCAATTACGTCCGCACTTGAAATTTACCAGCTTTGGTGATATATTTAACACCTTTAAAAGGCTTATATTTTTCACCATACATATCCAATCGATTAACTTTCATGCCCGAGACAGCCAACTGATTTATAGTAAACTTTACAGTTATCGGTGGAGACTCGATATTCCCTGTACCGCTCACAGCAACCTGAAATGCATGAGTAGAAGACAAGATAAAAAATTGCAATCCACTTCCGTAATCTTCAAATTTGAATGAATAATAAAAAGTATATCAAAAACAACTAATTATTAAACAAAACAGCTAAGCTTTTGTAAAAAGAGACACTGTGTCCGCATTAAAATTTGAAAGCTCCAAATAAGCTTTCAAAAGAATTCTGACAAAATGTAGATTTCTTCTTTCATTTGCTTAACAAATGGAAAGCCAGTAGACGCGGTAAGAGTAAGGAGACAACACAACGGTAAGATAGAAGGTGGGTGTTCTGACAAAGGTTGAAGTATCCGCTTTTCGTGGTTCTTGACAAAATATACTAATTAACTGGTGCCAAAAAGCTAATTTAACAACTGAGTACTGAAGCAATCTTGCAAAAAACCTGTTTTAAAGCAATCTAACGAAAAAACATTACAAAAGCTGTTATTGCTCGTCAATATCCAACCTTACTAAATTAGCAACAAAACCTGGACAAACTACGTCAGAAAACACAATTAAACTGACTTCAAATAAGTCAGACAAAAAGACTCTACTGAGCGAAATGGATAATCTTTTCCTGAAATCAGTTTTAGCTTTAATCATTACAAATGAGTCAAAGAACAGTATAGCTTAGAATACTCCAATAATGTTTCCTAAAAAGTGATAAAACTCCGTGATGGATTAAAAAACGACTGCACTGAAAAATTTCTTTGAATTAATAAAAACACTCAGAATAAATAAAGAACTTAAAAGAAAACTGGGTCACATCATCTCCAATCTCCAATTAGTTTACCGAAGCTTAAAAAAACAAAAACGTACCGTTCCTTTTATCATTGGTGGTTTACCAAGTTCTATCTTCCCAATATTCCACTGAAGCAATTTTGTTCTCGGATCAAATGAATATTTCCCTACGTTTGGAAAAAGGTTACAGTTCTGAACAGCTTTGGGCATTGTCATTTCCAGAAACACCTCCTCCAGCTAAATCGCAACAATTCAAACTGTTACTTATAAAAATCATGCTTAGTAGACGCTAAGAAATCAAAAAAATTACAATTTTTCCCATGCTTTGCTTTGGACCGACAGTCAGTTCAATACGGCCTGATGTGCCGCTTTTGAGATGTATGTTGTGCCTTACATAAATTGGGATGGCAACCATGCTAGAAAGTCATTGAGTCTTTCACAAACAGAATAGAAAACATAACTCCAGAACGATCTTTTCGTTAGTATTCTACTAAAACAATAACTAATTTTTTGGCAGCTAAATATAGAACAAAAAAGTTGATTAGGAGGAACATGCCTAATTCAGCAAAGTGTCCCGTACAAATTAACTTGGAAGTGACTAAAAAACTGAAAGGGTCGAATAATGTAGTGAAAATAAATTATCCAAACAAGAAGTACTGTAATTTTAGCGCAACTTACTTTTGCGAACCTATGTGGTACGATAGAAGTCTAAAGCTACCATCAGGCGGTATAAAAGACAGGACACGCTCACTCTAGAAGAGAATAATATTAACAAAACTTTGAAGGATTGTAGTAGGGAAAAAAACAAATTTTCCAAATAACCCATTTAAGCTCCAGATCTTAAAACCTAAAAAGCAGCAAAATAGAAAAAGCATGAAATCAGCAATAAGTTTAAACTCACTTCCCATCGCTTGAAACGTATACAAGGGTGAAAAGATACATCATCAAGCAAACGTGGATTGACCAAAGTCATAGTCAGGTCAGGCATCCCAGATAATTTGCAACAACAGTCAATCTGAATTCAAATTAAAAGTGAGACGAATTTCAAAACATGACGCACACGATATTTACTAATTCTTGTAAAACTAATTTTACTGAAGAAGGACAATGAGAACAAGGCTTAAAAACTTGCACCAGAGGTTTAAAGTGGGTCAGAGAAGCTTATTCAAAAAATACAAAGATCTTATAAACATGGTGAAGAACCCACGTAGCCTTGAATTTCGGAAAACACAGTAGCACCCTGCTTGTCAATAATGGCATCTATCTCTTCCACAACGTCAAAATAAGCCTCGTTATTTGTATACTTGACACCTGCACGACGCCAAGGTATATTTGATAACTGACCGGTCGGCAATACCTCCGAAATATTTGTCCTTCCAGTCACCTAAAAATCAATTCTCAAGAAAAAAGAAGCCATCTCAGCAAAATGATTCCCTTAATCTGTCCACACGGCGGTCCCTACTTATCCAGTTATCGTATGGTAAATAAGGCAATTATAATAGTACTTAAGTATAACTAAAAAATTATCACACTGAAATTTTTAACTTCTTCAAACTACTCAATACGCTTTTCCAGCACACCTTACAGTTATAATAAGTATTATTAATCACAGAAAACTTTCAAACTTCTTTGTTTACCAGAGCTTTCAATACTCAAAAAAATTTTACATCTAAATGCGTAATTACCTGATTGGCAATGGCGCGCAGGAAATTTGGTGGTTTTATAAGTTCCTGTAGGACATTCATTTCAGTTGCTAATGGAAATCCATTGTCTAACATTTCATCCAAAAGCTGCAACAATAGAGACAAATAACTATTTTCACTATTATATGTGAAAAAATAACGCAATTTCAAATGAAACCAGCTTTCTAAAACAAAAAGTACAAATATTAATTTAAAATAAAACCTCAAAAACTGTAACAAGGTTATCGTTAATGGAGTTGTAAGAGCATTCACCGAAATACTCCGTGAAAGTGTCAATAACTCTGTGGAGAAATTCAATCAGCATTAACAGTGGCGCTTAAAAAGATAATAATGAAAGTTTACCAAAAACCTAATCATAATCAGCTTATGTTAAGGAATATGAAATAACACAAAATGACTGAATTCTGCCTCCTTATTCGGTTTCATAACATACGAAAAAAGACAATAGTAATTCTACTAACAAAAAGAGGAGTCGAAAAAAAAAGTCTAACTGACTTTCTGTAGTAGTAACTGCCAGCAAAAACAGTTGATTATGATAAACGCTGATGAGGTAATGATGTGGAGTGGATATTACTGGGGCAACATCTTCGGGAGATGACGCCTAGAAAGATTTACGTCGAAAAAAAAAAATTAATAATATAGCGGTTGTAAGTTCCTATCGGTTACCTTCTTTTGAGCCTCAAAAAAATAATCGCAAATAGACCGATGGATAACAGACTTCCAATGTTTTTCCAATATCACATCCCTGAAAGTTCTATCCAGGAATAACAACTGGTAGTTCTTGTACTAAATATCTATAAGATACATCAAAATTCCAAACAACTTGTTCAACTGATAAACAAAATTAACCCCGTAACGCTGACAATGAACAAACTGTTCAACATCCCAACGAATAAAAAAGCTAAAGATCCACTGTCTTTCCTGAAATTATGAAAATTCACAAACAAAAGTTTTGAGAAATAAAGAGACGCATGATAGAAATGCGATTTTTGACGCATCACATTTCACACCAAAAGGTCAAAAAAAAAAAGAGCGAAGACCAAAGAAGATGAAAGAATCATTTGACTAAACAGTAGTTAAAGCTGCTAAAAAATGATTTATACTTCTAAATCCACCCGAAAGGTAAGGAAAAGACTCAAGAAAAAACTAAACAGGAGCCTCGTAAAATCAGTAAGTCCCACAAAATCCGCAAAAGACAACATAAAATCGCCGACAAAATTTTCACATGCGTATTTTTATTCTTTAGAATTGCCTGCCTTTAAGTCAGTTTTTGGTAAATCATCTAACATCTAACAATTAGCCACCAAAAATCATCTTTAGCAACTTGCTGATATTTTCCACCACTTACTCCTGATAGACTTCAAAAAAAAAGTGCTCTTCTGATTTTCAGACCTGATTTATCTCAATATTACTTCCCTTAAATAAAATTTGATTTAAATATCGTATTACACAACCTGTATAAAAAAAAAATACGTTTTTTTGACTTATCGATGAGGCTATTTAATCTAGCCTTCCCTTTCTTTTCATGTGTAATATTTCCGTTACTTTCCAGCGCCACTGTATCGTAATCACCTAGCTCCCACTTCACAAAAATTTGTCTTGATAGTTGCCCCCTCCCTCAACACAAAACCAAAGAAAATAATTTAAAAAATCTTTTTTTGTCGACTAACACGCCCAATGTTTCGAGGACTGTTTACCCTCTATAGAATTTCAGTACCGGCTACTTGTTTTCCGACGAACTCCTGTACTATTAAAAGTACGCTGAACTTTTCTCAAAGTTAAGCGGGAAAATTGAACCTGGGAATTTTTATACTTGGTAGCTGTGCACGTAACATACTCCTGGTAAAAGTGCCAAAAGTCAATATCACACAAAACAGCATTTACCGCGAAAGAGAAAGGGGAAGTGAAAGGAAGAAAGAGAAAAAGAGGGCTCACTCTTACCGGTGACCGTCGGGAAGCAAATACAATTTGCAATAAACTAATACAGTAAAAAGCACCAGGATGATGAGAAAAAAAACGTTGAAATACTGCGATACGAAGCATCTTGGTTTTAGAAAAATCCTTCAACAGAAAATAAAGTGATCATATAAGTCATTGCTTGGTAAACGAAAACTAAACTAACGAAGTAATCATGTCAACAACATCCATATGGATAAACGGCAGTAAGCTAAAAAATAAGATTTTGGCAAATTGCCACTGCCCACCCTTTTCTGCGGCTTTCTGCCGTTGCCTGTAACAATTGGCAATAGGATGTCGTTGCTGGTGTAAACCGCACACACAATTGCACACACAGTGCTTAGAGGCAGCTTTGTTGTTGGCAAAATGCCATAAGTGTTTTTAGAAGTAAAAATACATGGGACAAGATCACTCTATAGTTCTTTAAGACTCTCAATTCCGTGACTCATAACGTTTCTCCTTAATCTGCTGCATTAAGCGCCAAATCTAATATTATAAAGATACGCAACTATGCGTATTTGCAGATCAGAGTTCAACTTTATTAGTCTATTTTTTTTGGAAGTGAGAAAGAGATTGGTTTTTCTGGATCAAATCCCAAAATTTTACGCTAATTCGTGCGGTTTGCACTAATTTTGTAAACTCAACAATAGATCCCAAGAAATCAACGTTGGTTCCGTTTTTGTCACAAACGATAAAATTACAAAAATTTGACGTAAAGTTCTTTTCATCAGAAATCTTTGTCGAGCTCTTTTATCATGATGGCGTTAACCAGTGGTGCTTTTTAAAGATTCCGACTTGGCTGTGCTCATTACTGACCTTTTTGGTTATTTTATTAGCTTCTTATCAATTTTTGTGTTAGTGGAGTTGTCTATAAAATGTTAGGGCGTACTCAAGAAAAAAAAATCAAGTTTTCTTAACTTGTTGTTGTCACTATTACCTTTTTTTTTTTTTTT